TGTAACTTAATTTTATTGTGTGTATATATTGGTGGGGGTGAGGATAGGAATGGGTGCATCATTTCCTTGGCATCATGTGGAGGCAATTCTCTCTTTCCACCATATGAGTGCCTTATGAACTCAGGTCATCTGGCTTTATAGCAGGTGCATGTAGTGCCGAGGCATCTCATTGGCTCCATACTTCTATTTTAAGAGTTATAAATATCCTCATAAGGAGTTTTCCTTTTATAGTGTATTTCTCTATGTAATTCTGTTTACATTTGGCTCTATAGACTTCCTATATACCACTGGTACTTCCTTTTAATTTATATTATTTAATGTGATTAATCACCAGGCAGTGGTGGTATATGCCTTTAATCCCAGCACTGGGGAGGCAGAGGCAGGTGGATTTCTGAGTTCGAGGCCAGCCTGGTCTACAGAGTGAGTTCCAGGACAGCCAGGGCTACACAAAGAAACCCTGTCTTAAACCAAAAAAAAAAAGTGATTAATCTAAGTGTGATGTTGGCTTATATTTTTCAAAACCTACTTTTAATAAGGATTCATAAATGCTATAACCTCCTTTCTAGCCCACTATCCATTAAAGGTAGCAGAAAAGAAAGGTGATTAGGATATGGGGGAAGTGGACCTATTTAGAACTAGTTCTTTGGAGCAAATCCAATCTGTGTTTTCAGGATACATGCCAGCAGTCCAGTTCAGTAGTGCCAGGAGAGCAAACACGAATCAGCAGTGGTGGCACAACCCAGCAGAAACAGCTGAATCAACATAAGTCATCGGGTGTGACCAGGACCAGCTAGGACACCTGGAGAAGTTCTTTGCCATGCCTCTCTCAATGAAGTGAAGATCAGCAAAGACTGGAGGCCAGCTAAGTGTTGCCCAGCCAGCTATGGAAGTCTGCTGTCACTGTCTGTTGAGTCCTGTTTATACTCCCTCCAAACATCACATGTCCTCCCACAGGTCTTGCCTCAGCAAAGCACCACATGAGTCTGTCATAGCAAAACTGCATGTGTATCAGCTGACATCATTCTGCCGATCGGCCTGAGTCCATGGAAGTAGCAAGATGCCACAAGAACACCACCAGAAATTTTTTGGTGCATTTCTTTCTATGAAGTCACAACAAACGATGACCATTAAGAATACCATCCAGTGTCATCCAGTGTTGTCCACCGACTGTTGGGTCCTTCCTAACATCAAGCGTCATTTCATCTGTCTGTTTTAGTAAAACATCCTTTCACCTGTGTCTACTACAGGAAAACACTCCTTCATGGGTCTGCCCCAGCAAAACACCGTACGACACAACCGACTTTCCAAAGAAACCCTAAGTTCCCACTTCACTACGATTTAACGAAATATTATTTTTCAACTATATGGTAATATATTCATTACCTTTTTATTGATACCTCCTAATGTTATACAATTCTACCTTACAATTTTCAAGGATATCATAAAAAGTTTGTACATATATTTTAACTTTCATTTGTATTTACTGCTAACAACTTCCCACCGTTGGCCCAATTAATCTCTCTCCTTTTCCTCTCCATACATACGTACACATTTGTTCTGACCCAGTTTGTAAGAGAACATCACAGATACGTTATTTTCCTCTAAACATCCCGACGTGTGTTTCCTTTTTAAAAAGGGGACAATATCCTACGTTACTGCACCACCGTGAACAAAGGCAAGTATCTGATGCGGAGGAGATGCCGTCATCTAACCCATGGCTCATACCCAGCTCCCCATGCATTCCAGTACTTCAGATTGCTATTATATCTGGTTGTCAAGGGTTAACCCTTTCATCGCTCACTTCTAAGCTCACCTTTGCAGCTTTTGGTACTTACATAGGCATCTTCTAAATTCTAAGTTCTGTGATTTGCATCACTGGAGTACTTAGCATCATTTTAAATTCCATACAGAAGGACGTGGTACCCTTTCACCAAGTTCCATCCATCCCTATTACCAGAGACGCTTCCTATAGTCACACCTTTGTGAAACCTTGGAATGATTTTTGTTGCTCTTCTTCCTCTCTTTCGCTTGCAAAGCTCACCACATGACTCCACAGGGGAGCACGGAGCTGCACTTCAGAGTTTTCTCTTTTTCAGAGGACAGACCCAAAGATTTGAATTTTTGTCATTGATCAAGGAATATTTCATCTAAGAAAGGGAAATGTGTTAATATCTTGTGTTAATATCCCACATGTTATATTCCCTTGGAGAAGCAGGTTTTGAAGCTGAATTGAATTTCTCCTTCATTGTGGACACTGTGTGAAGGAGCGCTTCACACAGTCTGCTGGATGGCGCATATAGTACAATTACCCTTGTGGTCTGGGACAGTGTCCAAGCAACCACTCAGGTCGTTTGGACTGTGACGCTCTACAGGACTGACAGTTTTTCACTTTGAAAGTGGAATTCAAGTTATATCTATTATAAATGTCAAATCAAAGCACCTACTGAACTCTACCTACATCAAATTAATCTTCTGTGCCCCCAAATGTTTGTTATTATTGTATGACTGATGTTTAGAAATTGGCCTATCATATCACACATTTAGGCATGTGATATAAAACTTCTGTGTTATGTTACTTATACTATTTAGTAAACTGTACATTTTACCTTTTATACTTGAAACTAGTTCATCAGTGTGGTATAAAATTTAATCTTTTATCAAACTCATCATTCTGCCAAATATTGCTTAACTAATTTTAAATGGCTGAATGCATCAGCATTTACTGCAGGTGAGCAATTATTTTTCTCTTTTGGATATCAAAAAAGCCACACTGTTTTCTCAGCCATAAACACCACAATGTCAATATAATTAATAAATAATTGAAATAAAGATTTTATTAACTTGCTTTTGTGATTGAGTCATACTCCTCAACTCCATATACAACTTTGTCCTTTTCAACCCTGGGGTACATTGTTGGACCCCTTGACTTTTAGGTTGTATGTTTCACATATATTTAGGTTTATACTACCTAAATAAACCTGTCACAGCTGGTGAAAAGGCCATTGAACTAGCCCATTAATGTCACAGTATTTAGTTTCTTATCGACATCAAATCTCAGTGTCCGTTCACAAGGTTTGTGTATAAATGTTCAGGTAAGACATTGAAGAAAAACAGCTTACAGCAAGTGGTGACTCCCTACCTGGTCTTTGGGTGTTGAACTTGAACCGTGGACCAGTGTATATCAACCAACATTCTAGGAGCAGGCTGCTTCGTGCGTGGCTCATGATCTGGTTTGTACAATCAGAAGAAAGCTAGCCCCTTCCTCGAGGCCGAATTAAGTCAATGCATGGAAATACTTGCTTCTCGATATACATAGATTTGTTCTAGACTGTCTTGCAGATGTTCTCATGTTCCTTATATGAAATGGTATAGAACTTATATATAACCTGCACATGTCTATTCCTATATATTTTAAACCTGGATGACTTAACAGTACCCAACAGAATGTTAGTACTTGTCAAAGTAACTTTATTCTCCGTTGTGATTGTTGTCTGGGAGGCTTACTGCCTCTGTCTGCTAACCTAAGCCTTGTCCCAGAAGCTTCTAACCTCCGTATAATCTAATCTAGGCTGAGAATGTTTTCGTCCTCTGAGACTTACTGCTGAATAAAATCACTATTTCTTGTTCTTTCTGAACTCTAGCTGGCTGATTCAGCTCAGCTGTTCTGGCTTAGTTCATCTTAACCTGTGTCCAGTTTCTTCTCTCTTCAATCTGTCTTTGCAAAACTCTCCCAGAGACTGGGAGATGGGGCAGCATTTGGGATGTAAATAAATAAATTATCAAAAAATAAAATGAAGAGCACACACTCACTAAAACTGCCCCCTTCTTCCTCTCAGTGCTGCTCCTCTCTTCCTCTCTGCTGCACTGCTCTCCCTGAACTCTCCTGTATTTCTGTCCTGCACTCTCCTCCTCCTGTGCTGTCTGCCTCTCCCTTACGTACCTTCCCTTTCCTCTCTTTTCCCATGAGTGTTCTGTCAAATCTTTCTCCGATTCATCACATTTTCTGCCACTCAATCAGACATCAGTTTCAAACATGGGTGCTTCCTTCTGCAAACTAACTTTACCTTCATTGTTTAGGACTAGAGGTGTGTGCTAAGGGCTGAGCCACACCCTAACTAGAAACAGGTTCAAATATCCTGTAACAAATACTTATTACACAGTCTAGGATATGGTGACAAGAAACACGAGTAAGCGGTCAGGACAAAGTGAGGTTTTCTTTTTCTTCCAGAATAGTCAGTCTGGAGTTGGTTGGGTCCAGTATATGGTGCCTGTGGTCTATAGAGACTGACCACATCTCTTTTCCACCAGACACTCCAGGCATTGTAGATACATCAGTGGACAGAACACGCAGACACTTCCGTCTGGGAGGCAGACAATAAACCAGGAAAATCGTTGTGAATTGTTGCCTGAGGATAAATGCTGTGCAGCAGAGTGAAACAGGGGAGGAAGAGAAAAGTTCACAGTGTGGGTGAATAGGCTTCAAATGAAGCTTACCCCGGAAGCTTCCCTGAGCAGGTGGCAGACTCCTGGGGGAGCTTGGGGAGATCATTCAGGTGAGGATTTCGGTAAAGTCTTCTAGGAAGAAAAACCCCAAGCAACCAATCATGGATCTTCTGTGTGGAGAAATAGCAAAGATAGGCAAAGAGAAGGCTTACAAAGAGCAGGAGAGCTGTGTCGGGGTTCTCTTGAGTAACAATATATAGAATATACAGAAAATATATAGAATGAATATATATATATATGATATATATCCTATATATAGTCTCTCTCTATATTATATATATATGATAGATTAAATGGATGGATAGATAGATAGATAGATAGATAGATAGATAGATAGATAGAGGATTTATTGGAATGACTTCCTGGCTTAGTCCAGAGTCTCAGCTGGTTTTCGGAATCTGAGAGAAGTAGGCATTATGTCAGTGAAAGAATGGGCTTGCTAGCAAGGTGAGGGCAAGCAGCAAAGAGCAAAAGCTTTCTTTCATATCCTTATACAGGCTTCCAGCAGAGATGTGGCCCAGATGAAAGATCTTCCTGCTTCAAGATCCACGTTAAAGGTATGTGTCTTCCTACAGCAAAGGTCTGGGTTAGAAATGGGTCTACCTACTTCAAATTAAGCAAACTCCTCCTCACAGATATGACTTCTATTTTTGGATGTTAATTCTAGATGTAGTCAAGTTGTCAACCAAGAATAGCTACCACACTGCTCCTAGTCAAGGGAGTACCCTAGTCATGTGCTGAGGACAGCATACAATGACAAGGACTGCCTGCAGTAGGCCGAGATGAAGACATCTCAGAAGCCTGTGGCAGCTCCTTGTAAAAAGGATGGTGTCTGGGACTCTGAGAAGCAGGAGACACATCTCTCCAGGGGACCTACCATCTGAAATAAGGGACTGCCTGCAGTAGGCTGGGATAGAGACATCTCAGTAGCCTGCGGCAGCTCTTTTAAAAAAATAGTTGTTCCTATTTCTCCTAACCTTAGCTCTGGACAACGGCTGTATAGATTTCATTTGTGCGTGACTGTTTTTCAGTTGGCCTTGGTGTGCATAATTATTCTATTATATCTGACTTTCTTACTTCTTTCTCCTTCTGCTCTGGTGAATTCTGTGAAGCTAGATGTTCCTTGATATAATGATTCTTAAACAGTTAAAAATTGAGGCATAGGGCACAGCACAGCACAGCACAGTCCTAATGGCCCAGGTGCATGCTGTGTGTTCTCATCTTGGAAACAATACAATAACTGCACAATGGTAGTTCCAGATTAATGCTTGACTTGCAAAGAAAGTTTGAAGAAATTACTAGGAAATGAAATAGAGTCAACACTGGGACCCCAATAAAGGAAAAATCTATTGAAGTTATGAAAGAAGTTTTGCATAACATATAAGAGTGGTTCCTAGATAAGGAAGTATAGAATACATAAAATCTTATACTAGTAAAATTAGGTCAAAACACTGGGAGTCTTAGGAGAGTCACTGTTGTGCAATGCACAGAAGTAGAAAGCTAGTGGAACTATTGAGTTAAGGGTTAATTTGATTCTTTCTGGTCACTACCTGGCAGCTTTGCCCATGTCATTTATCATTAGAGCTTCACAGGAAAATGCAAGTAGCTGACCTCGGAGCTCTGAGCTCTGAAGTATGATAAGTTAAAAGTTAAAGTTTAAATAATGATTAGTTTGCAATTATTATTATTTTGGTTTCAGGCCCGGGGATAGGGAAGCTTGAAACTTTGGGGGAACAATTGTAATTCTTAATTCTTTGTGGGACGTAGTTATTCTTTTGAATTTGATTTGGCAATGATTATACAATGTACTTTTTTTCTACCTGATTTTGGAGTATCAATAAAAGACTGGGCAAGAGAAAGGCGAAGAAGCATGTGAGGTGAATGTGGAGAGAGAGAGAGAGAGTGAGAGAGAGAGAGAGAGAGAGAGAATGAGAGGACGAGTGGAGAGAGCATGAGAAGAGCATGTGCACAGTGAGTGAAGAGAGAATGTGAGGTGTGTATGGAGAGAGTGTATGTGTGAATGAAAGGAGAGTGCGTGTGGTGTGTATGAAGTGTATGTGAGATGCGTGTGAAGAGTGTGTGTGAGAGTGAGAGGGGAACGCACAGAGCTGTGTGGGAGTGTGGGAGTTCAAGAAAAGAAAAGAGCACAGGAGAAAAGTAGAGTGCGCAGGAGAATGCAGAGTGCATGCAGCCTCAAGCTGCGAGCGAATGAGCGAGAGAGAAAGAAAGCAGAGAGTGAGAGAGAAGAGAGAGAAACTTTAAGCCTTGAAAAATTACCTGTCAGCTTGTACCCCAAAAGTAGTCTGTGTATATTTATTGTGTGCCTACCAGATATCCTGCTTCCAGTTGAGAACTCCAATCCTGTGTCGAGGCTAGACCCCGACAGTCATGGCTCTAGAAGCTTCCAACAAGAGTGAATCCTCCAGGGAGTATCTAAGTATAAGTAAGCCCTGAGTACAGTCATTCTCAACATTAACTGCATACTACAATCACCTGAGATGGTGGTGCTAGCCATCCCGGATCATCTTGGACCTGGCATGCTGCTCTCTGAGGTCCTAGTGAATTACACTGGGATATTGCTTGCATTAGGAAATCCCAGGGCTATCCAGGTGTCTTGGTTAGGGTTTCATTGCTGTGAACAGACACCATGACCAAGACAACTCTTATAAGGGACAATAGTTAATTGGGGCTGACTTACAGGTTCAGAGGTTCAGTCCATTATTATCAAGGCAGGGGCATGGCAGCATCCAGGCAGACATGGTGCAGGAGGAGCTGAGAGTTCTACATCTTGTTCTGAAGGCAAACAAGAGAAGACTGATTGATTCTTCAGGCAGCTAGGAGAAGGGTGTCAAAGTCCTTCCCCACAGTGACACACTTCCTCCAATGAGGCCACATGTTCTAATATTGCCACACTCTGGGCCATGCATATTCAAACCACCACACCAAGTGATTCAGAGAGAATATAGAGTCACTGTCACAGATGTTAAGAGGTTTTACAGAGGGGCTGGAGAAGTGGCTCCAGGCTTAAGAGCATTTGTTTTCCACAGGATCCAGGCTTGATTGCCAGCACCTGCAAGGAGGTTCACAACCATCTGTAACTCCAGTTGCAGGGTATCTAAGGCCCTCTTCTGACTCTCTTGAACAGTAATTACATGTGGTACACATACATACACGCAGGCAAAACGCTCATATATAAAATAAATAAATCTAATACATTTTTAACTAAAGAGGGTTACAGGAGAAGATGGATTGTAGATGTAGGTTGGTTTCTAGGACGGAGACAGATCTTTCGATCTTTAGATTTTAAGTGCTGACATAGCTAAGGTGATGCTGTGCTCTGTGGGACTGATTGATGTGAAACTTGTAAAACAACTCAGTGGAATTCCTCGTTTGTTTCAAGTAAGACCGTGTCTTCATGGCAAACTGTCCTTGCTCTTCAATCAGCTCGAAGGCTACCTAGAAATGAGCCATTTCTTACCTTCCGTGACATAAGTAACTGTTGATTAAGTTGTCTTAGAGAAGTAGAAGATACATTATGCTCCTCAAAACTTATCTGAGAATTAGATTTTTCTGCAAAACTTTAGCTTTCATATTGGATCTAAGTTCCAGTTTTACATTAGGATGAGCAGGCTAATAATCAATAAAAGCAAATTAATTTATGAGCTGTTACCGGATTCAACCATGAGAGGTGGCAGATGACCCTAAAAATCACACAACTGTCTTTATAATTGGGGAATAAGCTAAAATATTTTCCCACATTTCTTTTTTTTTGTGTTATTAATGACTTTAAGGTTTTACTCCCTGCAGCTAAACAAGAAACAATTTAATGAGAATATAACAGAATTAGTAAAGAGGTACACATCATTTCAGAGTCAGTAGTTAAAACATTTGAATAAGTGGAGAAGTGGTTGGATGATGTCACCAGCTTCTCCTCTACCTCATGAGCTTAGAGGAAAGTGGCTTTCTGAAGAGATTTATGGAACAGCTTGTTCTGTAATCCAGAGAAGCATTTATTATTGTTGTTGTTGTTGTTATTATTATTATTATATTTTATTTACAATCCAGCCATTTTCCCCCTCCCAGTCTACCCTCCCACAGTTCCTCATCCCATTCTTCTCCTCTCTGTCTCTGAGAGAATGTTCCCCACCACCACCAGGCCTCATCCCTCCCTGTGGCCTCAAGTCTCTGGAGTATGAGGTGTATCTTCTCTCTCTAAGGCCAGACCAGACAGTCCTCTGCTTTATATGTGTCAGGAGCCTCTTATCAGCCTGTGCATGCTGCCTCGTTGATGACTCAGTGTCTGAGAGCTTCCAGGGGTCTGGGTTAGTTCAGACTGCTGGTCTTCCTTGGAGGTCACCATCCCCTTTAGCTTCTTCAATCCTTCCCCTAATTCAACCATAGGGGACCCTGACTTCAGTCCAATGGTTGGGTGTAAGTGTCTGCTTCTGTCTCAGTCTCAGAGGGCAGCCATGCTAGGCTTCTGTCTGTAGCACATCATAGCATCAGTAACAGTGTCAGGCCTTGGTATCTCCGCATGAGATAGATCTCAAGTTGGGTCAGTCACGGGACCACCTTTCCCTCAGTCTCTTCTCCATTTTTGTACCTGCAGTTCTTTTAGACAGGAACAATTCTGGGTCAAAATTTTTGACTGTCCCTCCATTTGAGGCCCTGTCTGTCTACTGGAGTTGAACTCTTTGAGTTCCTTCTCCCCACAGTTGGGCATTTCATCTAAGGTCACTCTCACTGAGTCCTGAGTCTCCCAGGTCTCTGGCACTTTCTAGATAATACCCCCACTCCCCCTACCCCAGGCTGCATATTTCCATTCATTCTGCTGCCCCTCTAGGCTTCTCTCCTGTCCTCCCCCATATCTGACCCCATTCTCCCTTTCCCCTTCCCCTCCCTTCTCCCATCCAGGTCCCTCCCTCCCTCTGCTTCCTGAGATTATTTTCTTCCCCTTTCTAAGTGGGAATGAAGCATCCTCACTTGGGCCTTTCTGCTTGTTAAACTTCTTAAATTCTGTGGGTTGAATCAATCGGGTAAATCCACAACCTACAGACTGGGAAAAAAAATCTTCACTAACCTCACATCCGATCAAGGGCTAGTATCCAAAATACATAAAGAATGCAAGAAGCTAACCTCCAAAAAACCAAATAATCCAATTTAAAAATGGGTTCGCAAAAGAGAATTCACAACAGAGGAATCACAATGGCAAAAAAGCACTTAAAGAAATGTTCAAAGTCCTTAGTCATTCAGGAAATGAAAATCAAAAAGTGACCCTGATATTCCACCCTATACCAATTTGGAAATCAATCTGACGGTTCCTCAGAAAATTGGAAATAGATCTAGCTACCTGAAGATCCTGCTATACCACTCTTGGGCATCCAAAAGATGTCCCACCATGCCACAGGGACATGAGCTCCACTAAGCTTTATTTGTAAGGTTCCACATGAGCCTTATTTGTAATAGCTAGAAGCTAGAAACAACCCAGATGTCCCTCAAATGAAGAATGGATACAGAAAATGTGATTGATTTACGCAATGAAATATTGTCCTGCTAT